GCACAGAACTTCTTGCTCCAGAGCATTGTTCCTGTTTAAGTTAGGCTGAAACAGTTTATGCTTATTGCAGATATAAGGGTACACACACGCATACACATGCACAAACTCCAGCACACATTTCAGTGTAGCTATTCCAGAATAGCTTCTGAGCAGGGATGTGTGTAGATGAGCCCTACAGATAAGCTCAGGACTATGGCTGCCTGCAGCTGTAATGAGGAGGGAGGGCTGGATATCAGCACACCAGCAGGATGCTGTGCATGCACACACTCTGCAACAGAAGCTGCTAACGCAGGGCATGGAGGGGAGATCCCCAGAGCCACCTTAGCACCCCATTCTTCCTCTCATGCTAAAAACCTCTTCCTGGATACAGCTACTTGCTTTCCTAATGGCTCAGCTCTAGCCCTTCCCTATGTCTCACTGCCACAGCAGCTTTTATTGATAATTGGATTAGGAAAGAAAGGCTCCAGCTATCCCAGTGCCATAGACACTGGCCCAGGCACATTGTTTGCCAAAAATGTTTTCAGTCAGAACAGGGTAATGTTTTGAAGGCAGTTTGATCAGCCTGTATGGACAGGGACATGTTTAAGGGTTTCATTTTTTCAAAATACATTATGGGTCCTTGTCTAAGAGCCACAATGACCCTGCTTACGAAGAGAGAAACAAACATCCTGCTAATTTTACTTACCCACAAGCACACACACACACACAAACATTTGATCCTGACTTCTGCACATTCATCATTTAGCTCAAAAGCTCTTTTTTTGGTGGAAAAAATGAATTGTTTGTGTATTGTCAGCATTAAGCAGATAGATAAATATGTAAGCTGGAATGTTATTTCTAAAGTTATTTTAAATATTTGGGTTGTCCACTTAAACTGTGTTTAAATAAAGTTAGTAAGAATTTCTTCATTTCTTTGATGGCACGCTAAAGCCATACTTTCTGTTGTTACATACATCAGCATTTAATGGCCATGCTGAAACATGACAGGCTAATTAGGATACTAGGTTCTTGGGTTATATGTAACCACATTTCTAACTTTGTTGGGGACCATCTCTAGACTTCCCAGCTTTTTTTTTTCCAAAGCAGGGGAGCAGCTGTGTGACTAAATACCTGGAATTTCGGGTTAGGAGCTTCATGACAAAGTAAGCCTTAAATCAGGTGCCCTCATCAACCAGTTCTGCCTAACTCGCTGTTCCGGGGGCTGTTAGAAGACCTTACCTCTGTGATAGACAGTTTTATTTCCTGTTCGTGGCGTATGAACTTGACAACAATGGAAAACTGAGCAGAGCCCCAAAGCCTCTGTACTTTGAAAACTTGGGTTTGAAGCATTAATGGACAGAAACAGACTCTGAGGTTAAATACTTACCAGATTACCATTTGTGTTATCATCATCTGGTTTTGTTGAAGAGATGCTTAGGACTGGTCTACTCAGAGACATGCAGAAAAATTAGGAATCAAATTCAGAAGTTAATGCTTTTATATGCATCAAACTCTTGTGCAGATGCACACTTTGGGAACCATAATGGTCCGTAACTTAATCCTTAATTTATATGTGTTGGCCACACAGCTTTGATTCCTCTGATTTTTCCCAAGTTGCTCCTGAAGACAAGGCTCATCAGAGTGTCTACACACAAAAGTTACAACAGCGATAATGGTGCTTGAATGTAAAGAATAATGCTTGCTCCTGAATTATTTGGTCATTATGAGGCAAAAGCTTACTGTTCCTGATCAGCTTACCTCACTTAGGGGTCCTCTGCACAAGTCATTACGATGTAAGCTGAATTATGCACTTATTGTGTGTTAACAACTCTACATACGCCACCCGAACCTAACAGGGTGTGGGGGAAAGAACAATTTATACTATATTGAGCATCTCGCTTTGGTGCTCCAAACTGGAACTACATTAACATATCAAATAGCCAACAAGTACACGGTACAGGAAACTACTAACACCAAAAGCAAAGATACTTGAAGCCCAAACTTGTCCTATCTCATGCCAATTACCTAATGGGTACACCCAGTTTAGAAACATGGCAACTCCAGATTCCTTTTAAAGACTAGCGAATGGCAGAGAAAGAGGACTCACTTAGAGAGCAGCTTGGATTTTCCAGAGGTAAGTTTGTTCCCCCAGACACTTCTGCTATATGGGACAGAGTGAAAGCCTAGGTTTACAGGCTCCTATTTAGCTATATAAAGTTAATGAGATTAATCCAGGCTCTGCTACTCATTGGGACTGTCCATATGGGAGGTTGACACAGGAGATGTAAATTCAGATTACTCTACATTTCCTTCCTACACAGTCGAGATTTAAGAGATGCTAATTCCCTTTCATAGCATGCCTACTAACCTAAAAAGAGGTTCCCCCTTTTTTTTTTAAAGAATCACACGATCACAGAATGGCTGAGGTGGGAAGGGACCTCTGGAGGTTGGTCATCCTTAAGCCAGGAGCCCAGGACCATGTCCAGACAGCTTGTGGATGTTTCGAGGGATGGAGACTCCAAAGCCTCTCTGAGCAACCTGTGCCAGTGCTCAGTCACCCTCACAGTGAAAAAGTGTTTCCTGATGTTCAGAGGGAACCTCAATGTGTCCATTGCCTCTGGTCCTGGCACTGGGCAACAGTGAAAAGAACCTGGCTCTAAAAATCTGTTTGTGTAGACATTTACTTGGGAACTACACAAACAGACTCCCAAAGCATAAGGCCAGGAGTCAGCTACCACAAGGTAAGCCTGGTTGTGAACACACTTCTGATATACCAGTTATATTGCAGCAATTGCCTGCACACATATACTTATCACAGGGCAAATGTGAGGAATTTTATTCTTCAGAGAGGAAAAAGTTCTCTCACATCTTCTGAGCTTTGGTTTGAACAGAACACATGTAAACCCTTATGGTACCATTCCTCTGACCAAGCACAGATGATAATGTCTGAACTAGTCATCCAAACATCTTCTGTAGCAAGGAAGCAGCCAGCTCCTGTGTTGTGAAAGCATCTAATCATCAGATAGCAACACAACTAAAACTCACCAAAACCCCACAAGTCCATAAATCAGGCAGCACTCATTTCTCTCCACTGACTGTTAACTCTAGAGCACCACTGTGCAGCAAAGATGCATCAAAGGTGCGATTTGTCCTGCTTGCTGGCAAGTGCAGTGCTATAGAACAATCTTTAAGCACCTTGTCTACACAACTATAAGCTTAGCACCATTAAGATAGGAGCTTTCTGAGAAAACTTTCGTCACCTGACTATCCCCTCTGGTTGTCACAGCAAGACAAAGACAGGAAGATACCAAGAGGTGCACCTCTATTGGCTCATCTGGGTTTAACAGTAAACTTCTGTAGCATCGTCCCGCAGAATGAAGGAAAACATTCCTACACCAAATTAGTAGTTTAAAGTATTAATTTAAAACTTTTACCCAAGCTATTTAAACTACACTGGCTCTGTACTGAAATAGTGCAGTCTATCAGCTAGCCACAACCCCAAAGAGACACAGTAATTCTCAGTTTATGATCATATTGTCAAAGGAAACTCTCAGCATCACATGGTATTTGAAGCAGTTTAGGGTAATCTAAACAGGGGAAACCCCAGTTCCCACTCCGTCCTCAGTTGCAAGCCTTCTCTTCCTGCTTTATAGTCACCCGTGCAACTGGGAAGCCATTAAGTCAACAGAAAACCCTCTTGGACAGGTGAGCAGCTTCTATAGGTGCTGGTTTTTTAAGGTGTGATTAGAGATGACATATTTCGGGATTTTTTTTTCTAAAACAGCCCACCTGTATTGGGAAAAACTCATAATTTGAATTCATTTTAACAGAATTTAAGCTGCCTCCTACTCTGCAAGAGAAGCACTATCCATTTTGTTAAGTTTGGGGCACAGCTGTCTCCGGGGATGTTGTGTGCGTGCAATAACTTTGATATTGCTTGACAAACCAGAATGATATAAAATTAGCCTCAAAGACCCTCCCCACAAGCACTTAAGGAATTCTCACCAGATCTACAAGGTACCTGGTATCCCCTTTCTCCATATGTTGACTTTTGAATAGGAGATGAAAAGTTAAGGGTCTGAACAAGTTTTAGAAACATGCTCGCGGAGTGCACCAGTCACAAGACACCCCTCAGCCACACAGTTCAAGAACTGAAATGCAGCATGATATTTCTGGAATGGCAGTAAATTCAGCAAAACCAGGATGACAGCGTATTTGATAATTAAATTAGAACTCTACACGCTCTGAAACTTGCTTTTTAAGTAAGTCTGTAACCATGGTAAATTGTCACGATCCTTTACAGAAACTTGGTATAACTGGTCAGCTTCTTATTTTTCCTTTTCTGTCAGGCTAATAAGTGTCTGGAGTATCAATAGATCAAACTTTAAAAGTTGCTTCTTAGTCAGAGACAGCACTATAGATTGAAACATCTTAGAAAAAATGAGTGTGCATTAAAATGATGCTATGTAAGAGAATGAAATGTGCTGTACTTGCTCTTAGTGACTTTGCTGTAAGAACATGGGAGTTAATTTGGCCCTGGGGAAGTCATTAAGACACTTTTTCAAAAGAGCATGGAATTTGGAGTAAGGGTTAATGTAAACAGTTTCTTCTACTCTAGATCAATTTCTAAACAGGCTTATAGTTAACTATTCTCCACACAGATACCGATTCTTTTATTTCATGTTATGCTATATACATGTATGCAGCAGTAACTAGAGCTGTACTGAAACTGCATTTACTTTTTAATTCACTAAAACTGCATCCACACCAGGTCATTTTTATGTAGGTCTAAATGCAGCTCCATACCAAACCAAAACTAGAGAAAACTGTCAGCTCCTAAAACCTGATTTCACAGTATTTACCAATCAACTTGAGATTACACTGCAAACCATGTAGCTGACAAAGTGAATACAGGAATTGAGCAACAAGTATTTGAACTGTGTTGATATGAAAGAGCTATGGAACAGGCACAAGTAGGTTGCATTAGTTTAGTCTTTAAAAGGAAGCTTTCCATTCACCGCTTTAAGGAAAAGGTGGCTCACTTTAATAACCACAGGTATTGGTCACTATTTAACAAGACATTCTAAAAAAGTAATCACAAATTGTCCAATAGTAGTTTACAAGTGGATGGTATACATTAAGATACAGAGGTAGAAGTTCACTTTTACAATGCTTCACTAATACAGATTACCAAATCCAAGGCACAGAATTGTTCGCTTTACAAAAAATACTGTAAAAATGTCATTTGCTGTTCTACAATTTGAGTACAACTCAAAAAAATCTTTACACCCTTCCATATTCTGCATGTAGAGTTGCATCAGGCATTATTCTCTTTTTCCTTTGCTAATAATTGGCATATGACCAGCACTTACATAAACAGTTTGTATCTCAGCTGAGTTACTTTGTCTTTCAGGCACGAGTCCAGTTACAGAAATTTAATACAACAGCTTCCTCAGGGGGTGGGAGAACTCTGTCAGAAGTAAGAATGAGGAGGAAGAAAAGAAACATATAGTCCATAACAGTAGATTGGACTCTGACACATAGAAGGAAACAGAATAGAGCATATTTCAAATCAAGTGACTTGAAAAAAGTCAGTTTAAATCATTGACTGCATTCGTAGAAAACCAGATGCCCAGTACAAGTTTGCTCTGAGAGTATTTGAGAAATTCACTTGCCTTTGAATTGGCAGAGATTTACAAATTTGTTTTTATCTTTGTTCAAATAGAACACACACGTTGCTACAAAAGAGAATTACACCACAATTTGGCCACGTGTCCTTTAGAGAGCTTGGGTGAACAAGAGATGCATTCAGAAACTGTCCTTGAATTTGCTAAAAGGTCATGAGCAGTAGCTTAAATCTCAAGATTTCCCTCCCTCCCCCTTCCCATAGGGAAAGACAAACAATTTCTGAAACATTGCATCTTCCAGTTGGAGACAGCTCCTATAAGCCTTGGCAGGCCGAGGAAGAGATATCACACAGTGCATCCCTACAACAAGTAGTATGACTAGTTTACTGTACATACAGTGATATTCTAAAGGACAATGGTGGCAGCTACATTGTAGATTTGCTTTGCTTACCTATCACATTTTCCAAGTACTATAGTCAGTTTTATTTACAGTATATAAAAACCCATTGATTTTTGGAGTTCAATACACAGGTTTAGGACCCAAGAGAATGCCACAGTAAGATGTCGACATTTGCATCTGTTAGATGCAAGTCCACTTCACAATTCAGTCATGTAACATTGTCATATTTGCCTACAAACGTTAGTCCATCCAAAACAGTGTTAAATTCCATTTTTTGCTTCATTGTTGTTTGTAGCCTGTTTCCTTTGAGCGATGAAAGGGTACATACACTTGTCTGCTCCCAAAAATCGGTACATGCACACGACTGCTTCAAAGGGCAGAATACTGTGGAAAAGATGTTATAAAATTGTTAGAAGCCAGTATAGAACAAAACCTCCGCTTACACGATGTACTCTGCCTCCTTAAAAGCAATATAATTGTTATTGGAGAGGCTTTTTAAGAGACTTGAAGGATTTTTATTTCACAGCGATACTTACAGAGAGAATTGAAATTCTGGAGCCCCAACCACGCAGGCAAGCAGAAAGGAGGAAGAAGCTACTTACTTGCATGCCTCTAGCTTAGACCAGATTTTCTGCTGCTTCTTCACATGCAGTGTGATGGCTTGTTTTAAAGGGGGGGGCAGGGGAGAGCAAAGGCATCACAGAAGGCCTACTAAAAGCAAATCATCTGCTCAAAGCCACATCAGCAGAGGTCATCAGACATTTAAGATATTCTTTAATGGGGGATTAGTGTTAGTTAATGCCATTCTTTGATCACCAAATGTCTAACAACCTTAACTTACATTCTAAACTCAATCATCCATCCTCAAAAAGAGAGGTCTGAAGCAAAGAGAGCAATTTCCTTTTTCCCCCTCTAGATAAAATTCCAAGAGGTGACTATGTGATGGATACCTGGCTACAGACCCTCCCCCTTCTTCCCACACCCCCAAAGTACTACTTTCATTTCAAGTGTAGTACTCGGGGGCGCTAGTGAAGGACTAAGATGGAATTTCCTCAGCCCCTGGAAATAGCAGCAGGCAGTCGTTCAGTGGAAAGCGGTGCACAGAATCTAGCCATTAGGAGTAATGACCACTGAAGCACTGAGAAGTCGATGTCACAGGTACAGGTGTCCCCACTGCCAGTAGTACTGCTTGTGCAGTGGCAACTGGAGGGCCTTTGATCTAAGTGCTGCTGCCTGGGGCATGGATTACGTGGAAGCTTTGATCTCCCTGCTGGAAGCTGAAGTGTTGAACCAAGACAACCCAAAGGGCCTTTGATGTGACCGTTGCTGCATAAGGCACTGCTTGTGCAGAGAGCACTGAAGCACCCTCTGAGCTTCTGGTTGTTCTTTAAGATGCTGACAGTGGCCTTTGTTTGTGGCCAGAAGAGACACATACATACTCTCTTCCAGTAAAGAGGGGAGCGGTGAAGGCTCCTCTAGTCTTTGGTGAGACTGTCCACCATGAGAGACTTGAGGCAGAGGAGAACCACTGCCTTGCAAGTGGAATAAAAGTCACCAAGGTTCTCTGTTTCAACCAGCCCTTGCAGAAGGAAAATAAGACAACACTATATTTTAAAGGTTTCTCCTACACACTACAGATTTGAAATAAAACCACAGACAGCTGTGAAGCTGTTCTCTATAAACTAGCATGCAAGTGATGTTGCATCAGTGGAATTAGCCAACTCCTGTATTACTCTGCATCACTGAAATGTTAGCCTGGTTACAGATGAAACAGAGTTCCCATTCAAAAACAGTAGTGTGTTAGACAGAACAAAGGAGGCAATTAATTTAAATAGTCCTTCCTCTAAACTTAGACTCTGAAAACTGCTTCTGAATGTGCAGATTTTCAGTTTATCTACCATATCTGTGCAAGTCCTAGAGAATCTGCAGGCAGGGCCTCCTACACACTGGTTCTAGAGACAAACAGCTAGAGGCTCCTTTGCTGGAAGCTGTCTCATGTCCCATTCCTACGGAGGAAACAAACAATGGAAATAAAAGTCTGTTGAAGAGAAAATAGAAATCTGAGGATGGAAGGTACCAGAAGGTAAAACAAAGATGCATAATAGATAGGATCTCAGTTTTATGAAGCTTCCCAAGCAAGCAACCTAATCTCATGCAAGCCAAGAAAAAGACACAAATTCTAACAAAACAGCACCTATGGCCTGTGTGGGTAGAAGGGTGTTTATATCCAGAAAGCGGACATGCTCATGTATTTAACTGGTGTTCTGTAGTTTGTATTTTCAATGAAATGGCAATTCAGCTCTTACCTTTTCATGAAGGTGACCATATACATGAGGCGAGGTGTGCAGATCATTGGCTGGTCTGTAAGGATGGCTCTCATAGCCTGTTTCACACAATATTCTGGCTTCAAGGGTGGAAGGAAGGGCTCAATTTCCTTTCTGAAATATGATTAAGACAGATTAATAAGACACATAAAGGACTGCAGACCTCAGTGAAGAGTTCATTAAACTCACTTTCTTTGGAATGCCTCAGCAGCGACAAAGACTTCAATTTTTTTTTTTTATATACTCACTGTTAAGTTACAAAGACTAGAACTCAAAAATTGTGCTGCCTAAGCACAAAAGTACAGAAGACACTCAAAGAATTCAGAAAGTCTCTTTTTCTAGTCTAACATTTATGAAAGCAGATACAATAATTATTTTAATATTTTTATGGTACCAGTTTAGTTACATTCAATACTTTTACGACACTACAAACAGAACAGGAGAATTTTACTTACCTGATTCTGCACCCTCTAAACATTCCTGTATCTACAAGATAAGGGCAGACTAAAGTTGTTTTGATTCCATCCTTTTCAGCAGCCTTCAATTCATGGCTCAAAGACTCATGGAAACCTACAGCTCCAAATTTGCTGGCGCAATAATCCTGTGTTGGCAATGAACGAAGCAAAAAAAAAAGGCAACTTGAAAGGGACAGATATGAATCATGTTCAAAGCCAAAGCATATCTGAGGTGATTCTGCACAGATTTTCAAAGCAACAACGAAAGATACACACTGAATAGAGCATCACACCAACTCATTTATCACTTTACTTTTGAGGCAATTAGCACAGAATCATGAAAGAAGGAAAGCTGAATGTAGGATATTACCTTGGATTCAAGTCTTTGAATCAGGCAGGCTCACCTGACAAGTTACTCCAATTACCAGTTTGCTTAATATTAAATGTTACAACAAAGGACTAAGATACCTAATACTACCTTGGGTCAGATTTGAAAAAGCTTGGAGAGTTGGCAGAGCATAGGTGTAAAAATCTTAAATGCTTTAAGGTTAGTTTCAGTGTGTTCTTTAATTTTCAGAAGAGGATATAGCTTGTATATCTCCTAAAAATACTAAGTTCAGCAACATCAAAAAATAATAGCATAGACAGCAGTAGCATTCGCATTTTCCATTGGATGTGTCCACCTCTACTGGTGGTCACACCCACAGTCTAGGAAATTCTTTGTAGTTTTCTCCAGACAGTAAATATTCTAGAAAGCCTTGTTACACCAGCTTCATTAATTTGTTATGAAACACCGCAGTTTAAGGTCCTGGATTGAGACTTACCTATATGCAAAGAAGCCTGTGCTTATGGGGTAATATGACTATTATTCTGTTAGACACATTAACTCATTTTCACTAACTGAATGCTTTTTGTTCACACTTGTGTTTGTGCTAATGACCCAAAAAAAGCAAGATAATAGGCTCTAATCCTAACCTAGTTTTACATACCAAACAACCATCGCAAACTGGTGTTCTCAAGCAGCTGCTAGCAACTAGACAACCTAACGCAAGTCCACCTGCAAAGTAGGTGAACAAGGTGGCTGCCCAAGTCCTGTGGATCCCACTCACAGGGAGCCATGTGTTGCTACGGTATTCTGCACCATAGCTTCCAGGTGTCTTCGAAGATTCAACTTTACTTTCTCTAGCTGATAACACAAAAAAGCTTATCCTAAGCAAGAAATGCCAAATTTATTGTTAATTACAGTATAACAAACCTCCACTCCAGCAGTACTGAACAATCCCAAGGAACTTGCAACTGTCACGATGTGTCCGTGATTCATTTCCAGCATCTTGGGAAGGAATGCTTTAGTGGTCTACAAAGGAAAAAATAAAACCAAAATAAAAACCCAACACCACAATAGTGATAAGTGTTCAAAACCTCTATCTCAGTTTATTGTCAAGAATACAATCACTGTACAGGTTTTGAACTTCTGAGTTGGTCAAAAATGCCAACAGAAAATCTGCAGCTTGATGTGAATTCAGACAGCAAGGCAGCAAGGATTCTATCTCCAGAAATCCTAAGGTTAAAGGATCAATTGAGCTCAGACATGTTTATTTTTCTGCAAGACTAGTTATCAGAAAGAGATAATTTGACCCTAAAATGGAAGTCGCATTTTTTTAAAGACAGAAAAAGGAATGCAAAGTGTTTAATTACACCATCCAGCACATCTATGTTAAGACCAGTGCCGATAATCTGTTCTAATTATTGACAGTGTGTTTTGTAAGGTAGATATGGCTAGTTTTATCTAATCAACTTACCATCTTCAGCATTTTACATTTAAAGAAATAGGCAGAGCTTTTGCTGATGTTACTTTTTACACATAACACAGTAAACATCTGCTAGTCTAAATTACTTTCAGTCTTTATCAGTATCCATAAGCATTGCTCTAACTAAAAAGACAGGATATACATTTCCATTATCAATTCCTTATTTTAACAGTTTCAAAATATAACAAAATAAATAAAAGCAAGTCTCAAGATGAAACTTTGATTTTACGCTCCAATTTTTATGCTTTGATTATAACAAAGTTTGTTTCTGTTTAAAAGCCCAAATCAGAGTTAACACCTTTAAAAAAAACTTAAGCAATAAATTGAAGGCATTTGCTAGATCACTCCTGCTAGAATACCCACTTTTGTCATATCTGTTTTCTGCAGCTGACTCAACACTTTCTTTTAAGCAAGTATTAAAAGCAGAGACCATATATGCTAAAAAAAATCAATGAAACAGTAAAATGGTATGTGCAGTCAAGGTTTACTTTAGCTTCTAGGCTGTCAGTGTACTATACTAGATCACTTTAAATTGCCAAAGAACTTCAGACAATGCTTTTCAATCACAAACGTGCCTATTTAATATATAAATCTATTAATAAACAGAGCTATTATTCTATTCTAATTCACTCAGTACCGCGAATGCTTAATCCTCCCAGAAAACCTGGTCTTCCCACATGATTTGGATCCAAACTCAGAGCATACAAATGCCCCTCAAGTATTTGCTACTTGCTTAATTGTGGGTCTGAGTTGTGTCAGCTGCATTCTTAAAAAGATGTGCAAGCTACAGCTGAATCCATCTAATTCCATTCTTATGCTGTCTGCATTTTCCAATCACAGACGTCAGGACAGTTTTGCTCTAATGATTTTCACATGTTCTTGTACAACATTTTTGCCTGCAGGTGTTAAATGACTAATCCAGACCTCCTAACACCACACAAAAGAGTGTTTTCACTGGACAGCTGGCAGATGATAGAAGATTAACAGACCTCCTGACTCCTTGCCTTTTCTACTGTTGATTCATACAACTCCTAGATTTTGTCATAACTGCATAATGAAGCTAATTATAAAAAATAATCTGTCAGCAAGCTGCCTTGCATTTGTTTCTTTCCTTATGGCGGGGATCTCTAAACCTCTTACACAGAGCCTCGGACAAGAATTTAGTTCGCTGTTAAACTGATCTGTGCCAGGCACACAAAGTTTCAGCCTCTTTTCCCGTGTTGCATGGCAACAAAGCCCAGTCATCACAGGGCAGTGCTGCCTGAAAAGGTGAGAGGCTTTGCTTGGATGACACCTAAGTTTTACAGTGCATTATTTATCTGCAGCTTGCCTTACGTACCCCAACACCAACAGTGTGCATGCTAGCCCGGATCCTCCATGCTATCCCTGTAAGAGATCCACGCTCCCAGTCCTGCTAACAATTTACTCCCCTCCGGAGCATTAGTCAGCTCCATCAGCAGTTTCCACTTACGTCTCAGTTATCTGTCCACATCACATCGGAATGACTGATTGCCACCTCGCATTGCCAGAAAGCTTGATAGTGCAGACTGAGATCTGGCTTCAAACCACAGCAACTACAGAAATGAAGGGGCACTTGCCTTCGAGTTTGTCTTCAGGGACAGAAAGAAGGGAAAAAAGTAGTAATAGAATTTTTTCCTACCACTTTCAAAGCATGAATCAATGTTTTCTTCCAAGAGATAAACAACAGGCCAAGTGCACCAAGCTTTGTTGGACTGGCTTTTCTACTGTATTTACTATGGCACTGCTTTATTTTTTTCCCCCCTTTTTTAAAAAAAAAAAACAACTATGATGAACTATAACTAGGTGTCCATAAGTGTCTATATTTATCTATAGCTGAAGAAGAGGAGAATTTTCACAGGCATATAAATAGATACAGGAAATAACCAGAACAACTGCAGAGCAGTAAATTTCAGAAAGCCTGCTCAACTGTGCTACACTCCTTCAAGTGAAAAAAGAAAACATTACAAAGACTTGAGTTTTCAGAGCTTGTGGTTCAAGTAACCCATTTTCAACCAAGAGGAAATTGGCACACAACGAATAAACCCTGTTGAGGACACTTTGGGGTGACGTCTTCAGCAATTCAAGTGCAGACTGAACAACTCCCAGCAGCAGAACTACAGTCACTTCACGTAAGTCATCTCTTAAAAGGCCATTTATGGCCACATAGGAAAAAACACAGCTCCTCTGCTCTGAAGACAATTAGCAATTCATGGAAATCTTTGCGTGAGACCTCAGTGTTCTGAAACAGCCTGTTCAGAACAGGCCCCTGTACTTTGTCATGGGACATTATCCCACAAATCCATTTAAAACCTGATGCAGAGGCAGCCTATAAAGATAGCACTACTATCATATGTAGAAAACTTAGCAGTCAACTATCATCGTCTCAGCTAAATGGATGTCAGAGAAAGTCACCTCGGCTGCTGCCATCCTCCAGCCATCTGCAACAGCTGGGAGTCAGTACTTGAAAACAAGCACTGTCAGAGGCAGACACACCCTACAGGGGGGTGCATTTCCAGTCTCAGAGTAAAGGCTTGCCCACTGCTCCTCCCAGCCTCCTCTTGCTGGGAAAAACAATCCCAAAGTGAAGTTATTCTCTTTCGTGGTATAAGCAATCCCCAAATAAATCAGTGTTCTTACTGAGCTTTTGGCACAGCCCCCTTCCTCGATCAAAGCAGCTTTCTCCATACTCTGGTCCCCAGTTTTTCTGCCTGCTACATAAACCAGCTCAACCTAGTTTCTTGTTTCTAGTTTCTTTCAGCTTCAGCTACATCTGCCTACCAGATCTGAAGTCTTGTGTGTGCTTGTTGTGCTGCTGAGAAACTAGTTAAGAGTTTGACCGGTTCGGGGCAAGATGCCTCCTGGGTGGCCTTCCCATCTGGAGTTTGTCTGAACAGGTAGCACAGCCCACATTAGTCTTCTGAGGTGATGCACAGACATGCTAATCCTCCATTAAAAAAAAAACTATTAGAAGATACCCATCAAGAAATGTGTTTTGTCCATGGCATTAGAGGTCACGAACCAGGCCCCCAAAATAATTCTAGTCAACTCAAGTGATTCAATCAAACTATCTGTCTTCTGGTTTGATCCTTTAGGTTTCAGTTTTACCTCTCACAGCTGTAGAGGAAGACATTTAACCAAAACATTTAAGTACTCAAAGTCAGAGCTGAGTCTTTTATTAATGACATACATAACACACTTTCCAACACTGAGGAGAAACCAGTAAGTAGAATATAGTGGATGAAAGGAATTGTGATGCATCAGGGTGAGGAATCAGGGAAGTTATGCAGTGTTCAACATCAAGAAGTTTAAGTTAAGCATCAGATTTGCTCAGAATTATCTTTTTCTTGCTTTCTTTTTTTTTTTTTTAGAGAAAGTGAAAAACCCCAAAAGCATAGTGCAAACATACATTTTTCTCATCTCCAGTATAGTTTAGATACAGCAGCTAGGTAGGCTAGATAGAGCGTACAAAGCTGTCCTGAACAGCATGCAAAGCTAGTTTTTCAAGCTATTTTAACCTGTAAGTTTTTTGGAGCCTAGAGATCAATTCCTAATCTTTTAAGCATTTTCCTCTATGCTTCTGAATATACCAGTAAGAACAAACTATTCCCAGTAGCTGTAACCAAACATCTATTTCATGTGCACACAGCTTTAATGACTTATTTCTCACAAGTGTGAAACTGAACAAGCATTTACATGTCACTTCATAGCTTTCGTAATCTGTTCTCAACATTTTGGTTTACGGCAAATTAACTTCTAACAGTCTAGCACTTCTTCCCTCCCCTTCCCCAAATTCTTTAGTTCCATTCTTAATGAAACAAAACTCAAAAGATTGTGCAACACAAAGAACAGCACAGCTGCAATGTCAAGACAAATTAGTCTAAATACAGCAAATGAGAATATGAAGAAATACTGTGTTTGGGAAAGTGATTTTTTAAATTAAATTTTGGATTAATTATTCTTAAAGAAGAAAGCAAGCATCCACAGAAAACAATGTTAGCTGTATGCAGCTCAAGACAATGAATACTGAACACAGAAAGCACACGAAAGTAGAAGAGTACGTGCTACCTCATGTTTAGAGAGTTGTCTTTATCTCGAAGAAATAAAGCAGATACCAAGCACATAAGGTCCTTTAAGTTTCCATTTTTCAATACAGTATTTTTTTTTTCATACTTTCTGCCTTCTGTTAACATTCAAGAGCTCTTTTAAACTATTTTGATGGCATAAACAAGCTGCTTTACTGTAAAGCAGAAATTCCTTTATGCCAAAGGAATAGCTCATTTTCCATACAACCCCTTCAGGTAAGGAGGATGGAGTACTGTTATTTTTCTGGGGCTGATCAAAACATGTGAGTTTTTACATCGTTTTAGTTAACCACAACTGTTGTGTACTGGTATAACAGATAAGATGTTTCCTCCCAAGCCACAGCTATTGCTGACTGCCAGGACAGCTGTGGAACAGCACAAACAAGTGCAACATTTGGCTAAACGTATTGTTTCATCTTCATGTTAAACACGATTTGGCCAGA